CTAGCCAAATGGTCCATTTCCATTTCCCCTTTCTCATTCACAAGAACAACTTCCTCATATTCTCTCCTCTTAGGTTAGGGAAACCTCTGGCTTCTACACTTATATTTACCCTACTCAAATGTTTAATATCCAATAATATCCAGTAACACTAAGAGTGATCTATGAAGTAAAAAACAATTCCCTATTTCTCTTTTCTCAAAGTCTAGTTTGTTTCTCTCTGCCTGCCATCTCACTAAATATACTCTTTGGTTTCTTTTTATACTCTCTCAAAAAAAAAATCTTAAAATTAAACTGTAAACCTTAAGGTGACCGCATGGTATAAACCATTTTAATCATAATTAATTCTCTGTTTATTTTATCTCTTTTTAAAATAGGGTAGCAACAAGTCTCATTTTAAATTGGTATGGATTTTTATAAAAATTCAAAGTTACAATTTATAATATATATGATTCAACCCTGGTTCAAAATAATTTTTATATAATGCTAAAATTTCAAAGTTATAAAGGTCTATTCAAATTAAGTTAATTAAAAGGTATGTCTAACTGCCTATTAATTCCTAAATTAATAAATGCTGTTTCTCCGGCCACGGCAGGAGATCCAGGTTCACCACTAGGCTTTTTGGCTAATAGGTTTGATATAATAAATTCAAATATAATTTTAAAATTGCTTTATATATTGTTGATTTTAAAATTCATAACTCAGGGATTACTATGTACAAGTTTTTACCAATACTATAAATTAAGATGTATTAATTTTAGAGGAACTAATTTATGTCAAAACTTGATCATTTTGCTATATCTCCACTATCAAAAGGTTGAAATATGCTTGGTCTTGTTTTCTGAAAATGGTAATATTATTAATCTATAGTATATCCTTAGACTTTTATAAGCTATGAACTTTTTATATACTAAATCATACACAAAACTGTTATGCTCTCACTTTAATGGACTATATTTATGACTTTTAAGGCTCCAACTTAACAGGGACAAAACCTAAAGTCCTAATAGTTGATGGTAAATGAATGCAAGTTAATAGTCAGTCATCTCATAGATGATCAAGTCCTCTAACATGTCCTAAAATATATTTTTAGTCCTATAGATACAAACGTGGTCTCACTGCCATCTTTAATAAATGGCTGAGGATGGTCCTTGAGTTACCATATAGGAGTTGGTAAAAATTATAAGGGAGGAGCCTTCCCGACAGGCTCATCTACAGCAAAATCTATGCTCCAGTCCTTGGCTGCTACTCTGAGGCTGTTGGTATTCCCACACAGAAAACAAGAAATCTGCAATGCCTCATCCCACCGGGGTATAGCCAAAATTCAATTCTGCCAGGTGACTGTTTCAAATGTAGTCAAAGGGGATGCTGGTCCTGCAGCTGCCTTAACAAGCCATGGCTACCTGCTGGCAGAGTGGTTTCTGGAAGTCAAAATGCTCCCATGCAGGCTTGTCCTCTGTACTCAGCACAAAAGCCACAGACACTTCCAGCCTTTGAGCTCCTTGACCTAGCAGAGGACAAATGGCTCCTAGAATCATCAACCTCCACTACCCTTGCCAGCCCAGGGTAACATTGCAGGTATGTTCTGGCCTCACACTGGGTCATATTGCCAACTTCTGTCTTGGGTGACTTGAGATGCCTTCTCAGTTCGCTTCATATGCAGAAAACCAGGCCTTAAGCCTTCTAGAACTGTTACTGTCAGGTCTAGACAAAATAAGCCTTGTTGCCAGATTCAAGAAACAGGCCTCCGATGTAACCTTTTACTATCCCTTTAGCTAAAGGACAATAAATGTTCATAACAGTCTCGCCTATGTCTCACAGTAAATAACTAGATATAAAGGACTAAGAAAAATGTTGTTTGAGGGTCTAAGAAAGTGTTTTTTTTTAATTACAACATGTTTACAGATTATGTATTCTTATTTAAACATCATACCTAATAAAACATTTCCCATCAGTCTTTCCCTTCACAAGTTCATTGTAACCCCAAAGCAGTAATTCTTTTTTTTTTTAAGTTTTTTATTGTTTGTTATTATTAGTTACATTTTATTAACTCTGTATCCCAGCTGTATCTTGCTCCCTATTCCCTCCCAATCCCACCCTCCCTCCCTCAGCTTCTCCCTGCCCCTTTCCAAGTCCACGGATTGGGGAGGATCTCCTCCCCTTTCATCTGGCCCTGTTTTATCAGGTATCTTCAGGGCTGGCTGCAAAGTCCTCCTCTGTGGCCTAGCAGAACTGCTCCTCCCTTGCGGGGTGGGGAGTCAAAGAGCCTGCCATTGAGTTCCTGTCAGAAATAGTCCCTGTTCCCCTTACTATGGGAAACCAATTGGTTATTGAGCTACCACGAGCTTCGTCTGAGTAAACGTTCTAGGTTATATCCATACATGGTCCTTGGTTGGAGAAACAGTTTCAGAAAAAACCCCTGTGTCCAGATATATTTGGTCCTTGTGGGGCTCCTATCCTTTCCCTGTCATACTAACTCCCCTTCTGCCGAAGGTTTGGTATGAGTCTTAATATCTGTTTTGAAACGCTGCTTGGTAGGGTCTTTCAGATGCCTTCTGCGGTAGACTCCTGTCATATGTCCAATGCACATCTCATTTGTCTTTCTAAGTGAGGATTGATCATCTTACCTTGTGTCTGCTTTCTTGTTTATCTCCTTTAGGTGTATAGACTTCATTATGTTTATTATATATTGTAGGTCTATATAAGCGAGTATATACCATCTAAGAAAGTGTTTTAAGGTTGGTAAATGCAAGTTATAAATGTTTGAGGTTCTAAGAAAGTGTGTTAAGGTTGGTAAATGCAAGTTGTAAATGCTTGAGGGTCTAAGAAAGTGTCTTAAGGTTGGTGAACACAAGTCATAAATGTTTGAGGGTCTAAGAAAGTATTTTAAGGTTGGTAAATGCAAGTTATAAAGGTTGCAAGGTCTAAGGTGATGTAAGGTATCCTAAATAGGTAAAAATGCTTAATATTTCCTCCTGTTGCTATGCTACTGTTATATTGACTATCTAGGGCTTTGATCTGTATCAATAGAGCTCTGATTTATTAATCTAGCTCTAATGCAAAAACATTCCATATACCACCCACTATCATGGTTCCAAACTCAGGATTTTAAATCTCCTTTAAATCTCCATAATGTGTAATCATACTAAAGGTTAAGATCAAGTGAGCTTTTGTCCTTTCTACCTCACAAAAAGCTTCTGCCTTTTCAAAGCTCACCTTAAAGAATGCTTATGCTGTTAACATAAATGTTTATGCCCACTGCCTTTTTTACAATGTATATTTTGGTGCAGATTACAATTGTGATGTTAACATGTCTAAAATTTTATCTCCTTTGTAAAACTTAAAAATAATTCTTGTAAGCTGCAGGAAATCCAGCTGAATCCATATCTCAGGTCAGTTGGGCTCCAGAGAAGTACTGCACCTATTGTCTATCTCAGAGGATGGGATTCCTCCCCTTTCCCTGGTTTTGGGGCTTCCCTTTCCTGGTTACTTGATTTCCAGAGCAGGGACTTTCCCTCCTCTTGACCATGTAATCTGGACATGTTGCTGCTATTATTTTTTCCCCTCTCTCTCTTACCCACTTGCGTGACAACCAAGAGCTACTTCCAACGAACCTAAATTGATATAATTTAACTTGCCTTACATGAGAAGCAGCTTAAGCTCTTCACTTTTAAATTATATAAAATGGGAGGAATGTAAGTATTTAGGCAGCCTGCTTCTGGGTTGTCTAGTGATATCATCAAGTGTCACCTGCTAGGTAGCCACACCTGGCAGGCATAGTTACGTTGCTCCTTAGAAGGACCAACCTGCCACTTTGTCTCTGTCTTGCCCTCTCATCTCTTGCTCTCTCCCCTTTCTCTGTCATGGTGCCCCCTGCCTTCCCCCTATCATGTCTCACTCTCTCATTTTTTCTCTCTCTTCATCTCCATCTAATAAAACTCCTTCATATAAAATCTGCTGTGTGCATCATCATTTTATTGGGTCCTAACAGGCACCCATTAACCCTCCCTCCCCTTCTCTGATCAGAAGAAAAGGGGGAAATGGGGAGAAAGGGGAAGAGGGGAAAAGGGGAAGAGGTGTGAGGGCAAGGCTTGGGGAACAGGAGGAAAAGGGGAGGGGCTGAAATCAGGCTGTAAAGTGATTAAATAAAATTAAAAATGGCTGTCACAAATGGGAAGCCACATTGGATAAAGAAGGGTCAAGGCAAAGGGAAAGAAAATGGGAAGCTAAATTTGCTGGGTTTCTTTTGAGCGTTTTGCATAAATGCTACTGTTTCATCCACTGTGTGAAGGAAAATAACATGAGTAGAGTTTGAAGCTGGGGTGGGGCAGGGAGAGCATCAGTCCAAGACACAGGGAGATGAGCCAAGACTGAATGATTCCAAGTTTGTTTCCTTCCCATTACACCACATTGCCTGCAAACACGGAAGGACAGTGCATAATCAAAACAGAAGGTTGCACCATGATCTAAACAAAGAAGATGTCTTTTGAGAATTACTGCTCCACAGCCAAAGTGTTTCATGAGACTTCTGTCCAGAAATTTCTAGAACTCCATATTGTTTTCAATTTTCCCAGAATGGGCCAAGTCAAAATAATAATTACAGGAAAAGAACAACGAAGCAGCCTGGGAGGGCTTGTTATAAGATTAGATCAAACTGAGAACCATTATTTGTAACATCACTGTCCCAGAAAAAAAAGAAAGAGGAAATAAAAGAAGCAGCAGAATTTACTTCTGATTTGTCTTCCTATTGATGGCAATAGCAACAGTTGGGCATCATCAGTGTGGCTGAATGTGCCCCCTGTCAACAGAGGCCTTTTCATTCTTCCAGCTGCTTCCTGAAATACACGTCATCTCTCTGTCCAAAGCACCCCATCTAAGTACCCACCAAATGACAATGAGAGGTGTGTATGATGCCCCAGAGTAAAGCTTACTTTCTCATACTCAGACTAACTATTGCACAAAGCTATGATTAACAAAAACATCGACCAGGTCAAATCACTTACCTGGGGCTGTGAAATTACAGGGCTGGAAGTAGAGGCAGCTGCCATGACAATGCTGTAGTTTGGGGCGATGAAGAGGCCCCAGCACTGCAGTGCCAGGGACAAGAAGTAATTCTTGGTTTGTCCAATCAGATCAAGGTCATACTAAGAGGAACTGTAAGCCTGTGAAAACATAAGGAAGCCCAGAATGAGTAGGAGAGGACTTAAAAGGGCAAGGGAAGAGTCAGGCTAGATGAAGCAAAAAGTCACTCCCAAGAACCAAATATTAGCTGAATGAACACAGGGGCCTGTTGAGGTAGATCTACAATCAAAAATCATGACTCCCTTACCATCTGCTCACACAATGTTCTGGGGAGCAGCTAGATGTTCTGGGGAGACAGCATCCAGTTGGGGACACAAGAAGATTGTACACCAAGAGGAGAAGCCACCATGCTGTTAAATAATGATTTCTTAAAATCTACCGTTGAGATTTGATAATCTATACACAAAAGATGAAAAGAGAAACCCTCCAAGCGGTTAGAGAGGAACCCTCCAAGTGGTTAGAGAAGGCTTCAATTCCAACCTGACCCTCCCTACCCTTCTGTGGAAACAAAAACAAAAACAACCCTGAGGTTTGGAGAAGGCATTCTGTCATTCATATGCTCACTAAGAAAACTCAGAAAAAGGCTGTAGTCCCGGCAGTAAACTAGGACCTTGATCCTGTCAAAAGCTTGGCCAGGGGTGGTGTCCCACAACTTTAATCCCAGTATTTAAGAGCCAGAGGCAACAGGTATTTGTGAATTCAAGGCCATCCTCATCTGCTAAATGAGTTCCAGGCCAGCCAGAAATACACAGTGAGACTCTGTCTCAAAGATATAGAGGTGGAGAGAGCAGGGGTTGGAGGTTGGTCCCATGATCATAAGAGCATTGCAATGTAGTCCACAAAGGAAAAACTTTCACCTGAAGAAGTTGTGAATATCCCTTCCTTCTAACAAACATTGCATTTTCAGTAGTTTTCAGCTTACCTAGCAATCTCTCAAAAGAGACTTATCAAAGAAGGCCTATGGTGATTCACACCACTAATCTTAACACTCTTGAGGCAAAAGCAGGAGGACCGAGAGTTCTGTGCTAGCCTGGGTTACATAGTAAGCCTGAATTGGAAAAAGGAAAGAAAGAGAGATAAGAGATGAGGGAGAGGAAGAAAGAGGAGAGGGGGAAGGGAATGGGAGAAGAGGAGAAGGGAGCTGAAGAAAAGAAAAGGAAGAACTGATAGAAGGGGGAGGGATGGATCAAGAGAGAGAGAGAAGGAAAAAGGACAGATGTATTTCCTGAGTGCTTATAGGAAACTAGTAGCATACAGGACTGACCCAGCTACGAGTGTACTGTCTAATTTCACCAGAATGCAAGGACTTACCTGAATGTTGTCCAACTCTTGGAGAGTGACAGTTTCTTTAATAGTACAAGTCACAAACCAAGGGTCAAATGATCTGAGCCTTGTGCTGGACACTTAATCCCAGTCCTTTGATCCCACAATGTGCTATGCTAGCAGCTCCCAGAGCCTCCGTAAAGAATGCCCTAGTCACGCAGCAACTCCTATGGCCTGAAGGCTTTTATTTTTATTCTTGCATAAGCATCATGCCTTCACATAAGTTTGAGTCACATCAGGTTTTACTTGTTTTAAATCATGGGTGATCCCTTTATGAGCAGACACACAGCAAGCAAGCTTTGCAAGCTATCTTGGAATGACATCAACATGGGATGCTACAGCTACCCTGAGCCAATGCTGGTATCTTCCTCATCCCTACTTTAAGGAAGAAAAATTTAAATGGAAGGCCCATGGGAAGGGGCAATATCTTTCTTTTCTTCACAACAGCTTCTGCAGTGTGAAAAATTATAGAACCTGACACTACACTGCTTTATATTAACACATGATCTTGTGTCTACTGCTACTTTCAATTCTCTCTTTTCCTTACACATTTATAATCAATACCTACTTTCTGTATTCCAAATGAAGACAAAATGACATGATTACAACAATAAAAAGCCAACAAGTGTCATTCTAGTCTAAAAAACTCCTGCTACATAATCAGGTGCATTTCATTTTAGCTCAAGATAACTTCAGTTGCCACAGTACAAAGACTGTCCGGAGGGGAACAAAAGGGGTAGAACAAGAAAAGGGATATACTCCTCAAAACCAAGCTGTCATCTATCATCATTATTAACAGGAGAGAGGAGAAGGGGCAGGAGTTAAGGAAAGCCATCTGCACACCGAGTTCAGTAGCACTTATTCCATAGTTTCAGGCAGATGCTATTAGCTCATGTCATAAGGGAAATGTCTGAGACTTCAGAAGGTTACATGACCCAACCACAGCCACAAAGCCAGGAGAGCTCCAAAACTTGAATGAGGACCAGCCTGTAATCAGAGGCTAGGCTCTTCAAACCAACCATGCAACTGAAAGAGAGTCCTGCAGGACTGCGCAAATCTCTCATTTAGCCTTGAAGCACAAGTACATGAGTTTGAATCCCAGTACCCACATAAAACCCTAGGGGTCGTAGAACGTAAGTGAAGGGATGTTTCTGAAGTGGGAATGACATAAAAGCTATTTCTGATATAAGAAAACAAAGTGGAAAACTGCATCTAGACTCTCATCCGAAGAGTAGAAAAATGTACAAATTAAAATGAAGTAGCAAGGATCATAAAAAATTAAATATAATTTTTTTTAATTTTCCAATGAGAAATACACACAACTTGATTTCTAGTGAAAGACTACCAGATTGATTGATGATGGTAGAAAATACCATGAATGAGCCCTTGAAACCACAAAATGATCCCAACTATTGCTTAACCCTCAAAAGCCATGTGCTAGAAAGAGTGGACACGGATGCTCCAAAAAGAGTTAAGGCACAGCATACTGTTCATGAGAAGCTCCAAGGTCCAAGTGCATGTACAGAAAATAAGCAAATGAAAACCCAGCAGACCTGGAAGTGTGTTCAGCAGAAGGAGGGGCCCATGCTGAGCGTGCATTTAAAACACACTGACTCTTTCAGGAGAGTCTCTGCCTTCAGAAGCCTACAAAGCAAGTAAACTTGGGCTGCACTTATTCCTGGTTTACGTGGCTATGAAGAATTCTCCAGAAAACTGTGAGAAAAGAATGCCAAGAGCTGGCTGCAGAGGGGGACAGCCATGCCAAATGACAATGGCTCCGCTGATTAGTGAATGCCACACCACATACCTAAAAGAAAAACTCTAGTTGGAAACGGACTTCCATCTGATTCCTTGAACCAAAGTTGGCTCCCTCCCCAGGCCTCACAGGAAGATAAATATCTAATTGGCAAATTAATCTACTACAACTCTAACCTTTTTCCTTATTCTGGATTTCAGTCAAATAATGACTCATACAAGTCTCTTGAAAATACACAGGGTAGACCCCAGCAAAGAGGGGTTGAGAAAGGAAAAACAAAAACAAAAAGAAATATTGAGTAGACACCAGCTTCTCTCTCCAAGGATAAGCAACAGAGAATGCACCAGGCCCATGAGACATACTGTTAGATTTTAAAGTAAAGGGATTCCAGAATTAAAGCAAATACTTAGTTAAGTAAAAAGTACAGTTCTTAAAAGAGAAACTTCCAGTTCATATTTGTAAGCGTTCTGAGGACTCTGTAGTAGCATCTTTGAACACCAAGCATGTCACCGTGATAGACAAACAAGGCCAGAAAAGACTTTTCATTAACCAAAAGCACAAAGAAAGGTAAATTTGGATTGTGAACTTAAACAAAGCAGTCAAGGAAATAGAAAACAGAAAATAAACAGGGAAGGGAAGATAAACCAGACCTTTGGTATAGAAAAGCCTACATTTGAAGACTCTAACCCCAACACAGGATAGGCGAACAAAAGTCCTAGCAGGAAGGAAGCTGCAAATGATGACACACAGCTATAATCCAAGCTCAAGAGGTAGAAATGAAGGATCAAATGTTCCAGGTACCCTCAGCTACACTGCAAGTTTGGGTTTAGCTTGGATTACATGAAATAGGGGAAAAATTTAGACTTTATATCTGTATATTGTTCTGCAACAAACTTGACAGTCTAGCAGAAACTCAGTAGAAAATTTCTGCACCCAAGACCTAGAGCATCAAGGAGATGAGACACAGGCAAGCCAACTTGTCTCTTTTAGTGTCTGTCCCATCTTCCCCACCACCAGAAAAAGACAGCATCAGCCACCAGACTTACCTCCCCGGAAGCATGAGATAGAAAGATTTGTCCTTTGGGATCTCTAATTGAAAGTCCCAGAAAGAGATGTTGTGTTCACCAAAACAAAAGCAGGATGTTTAAAAAGCAATAATTACAAGTTTAAAAAGATTAGAATGTGAAGTTAAGGAAGCTGGCCAGAATTTAAAAATAAAATTGGAGAATAGAGCAAAAGAATAGTGAACTAGGGCAGAAACGCTAAGAGATAAATCAGAAGAATACAGAAGCAAAGTAAAGCAAACTAAGGCAGGAGGGCTACAAGTTAAAGAGCAGCACTTACATTAAAGAGCAACTTATGGAAACCCCATCTCAAACTAAAAAGTAAAAAGTAGGATGGTGAACTGGGGTATATACCAGTGTCAGAGTATTTGATTAAAATATGCATGCCCCTAGGAAAAAAGGAAGAGAAGACAGAAAGAAAGAAAGAGAGAAAGAAAGAAAGAAAGAAAGAAAGGAAAGAAGAGAAAGAGAGTGAGAAAAGAGAGAGAAAGGGAGAAAGAAAGAAAGAAAGAAAGAAAGAAAGAAAGAAAGATAGAATGAAAGAAGGAGATGGGGAGAGAAAGGGTGAAGGAGGGAGGGAGAGAGGAAGGGAGGGAAGAGAAAGGAAAGGAAAGGAAGGAAGGAGAGAGAGAAAGAAATGGAAAGAAAGAAAAAGAAAGCGGGAAAGAAAGAAAAAAGAAAGAAGGAGGTGGGGAGGAAGAGGGTGAAGGAGGGAGGGAGAGAGGGAGGGAAGGGAAAGAAAAGGAAAGGAAGTACAGAAGGAGAAAAGAAAGAAGGAGGGAGGGAGAAGGTGAAGGAGGGAGAGAGGGGAGGGAAAGGAAAGGAAAGGAAAGAAAAAAGGAAAAAGGAAATGAAAGGAAAGGAAAGGAAAGGAAAAGAAAAAGGAAGAAAGGAAGGAAGAAGGAGATAGGGAAAGGAAGGATGGGAGGGAGGGAGA